GTCAATTATCATATGGTTTCACTTATTTGTGGAACATAAGGAATAGCATGGAGGACATTAGGAGAAGGAAGGGAAAAATGAAGGGGGGGCATCAGAGGGAGAGATGAACAACGAGAGACTATGGACTCTGAGAAACAAACTGAGGATTTTAGAGGGGAGCAAGGTGGGGGGATGGGTTAGCCCAGTGATGGGTATTAAGGAGGGCACGCACTGCATGGAGCACTGGGTGTTATATGAAAACAATGAATCATGGATCACTACATCAAAAACTAATGATGTACTGTATGGTGACTAACATAACATTAAAAAAAATAAATTATAAGGGAAAAAAGGAATGGAGAGGGAAGCTTTAAAAAAACTTAAGAGACATCAATTTTTTTAATAGGCATGACTAAATTATAGTGTCTAGGGATGAACATTTGGAAGATAAAATTATAAAAATATACAATTACCATAAAAGTCAAGATAATGGTGTGCTACTGTAATGGTTATTTAAGGTGGGAAAAGCATTGATTGGAATGGGACACACAGAAGGGGCTTCTAGGACGAATGGCAAAGCCTTATCTCTTGACTTGGAGAGTGGTTTCAAGGTTATACTTTATAATAATTCATTAGGCAAAATATTTGTTTTTTGCGGTTTTCTGAATTTTCACTTTATAATAAAAAGATTCTTATTCTAAATGATGGAAATGCAGTTTTTATTACATCACAGTTCTTTATACTTTGCATATATTCTATAAATATTCTTTTGTACCTATTGAATATTAATTGAAAAGTTTTTTTTTTTTTTAAAAGATTTTATTTATTTATTTGACAGAGAACACAAACAGGGAGAGTGGCAGGCAGTGGGAGAGGGAGAAGCAGGCTCCCCACAGAGCAAGGGAAGCCCGATGTGGGACTTGATCCCAGGACCCCAGGATCATGACCCACGCTGAAGGCAGTCGCTTAACCAACTGAGCCACCCAGGTGCCTGGAAAATTTTTAAAGAAAAAAACATATTGTAATAATAAATAAAGACAAAAAGATTTGGTCCTAAAAAAAGAAAACTGTTCAAAACGAAAACTCATCTAGGGGTGCCTGGGTAGCTCAGTGGGTTAAGTGCGTCTGCCTTCATCTCAGGTCGAGCCCCACATCAGGCCCCCTACTCAGAGGGGAGTCTGTTTCTCCCCCTTCCTCTGACCCTCTGGGCTGCTTGTGTGTGCTCTCTCTCTCCAAATAAATAAATAAATAAATAAATAAATAAATAAATAAATCTTTAAAAAAAATGAAAACTCATCTTGGTTAAGATCATAGTCCAAATGCTAAGTTGAATTCAGACCCTGCCATTCACCAATTCCCTAAGCCTCAATTTCCTCCTATGTAACACTGGGATAATAAAAGATCTGAGGTTAACAAATAATTAAACACTATACTATTAATTCACCATGTAAAAATGCATTTATTTTCCATTTCTAACATACCTTTTCATTTAAGCCAAGAAAGCATCCATTTATAGACAAGCTATTTTTTTTCATTTAAGGGATCAAATAATCAAGAGCCATAATTCCTTACTACTCAATTACAGAAATCCCTTATAATACATAGCAGTTCATTTCTTTAGCAATGTATCTACTGAATCTAGAAAAGTACTTATCACACAGTTCACAAAACAAAGTCCCTGTTCTGATAAGCTATTATTCTAGCAGAATGAGACAGACCAACATAAAAAGAAATAGATAATACATCAGACAGTAATAAGCCTAAGAAGAAAAATAAAGAAGGATGATGTGATACTCATGGGGGAGGAGGTGCTTATTTCAGTCAGGGAGACCTCTTTGCAAAAAACAAAAAACAAAAACGAGCTTTCTGGGGAAATAGTATTACAGAGAGAAAACTGCAAGCACAGAAGTACTGAGGTAGAAAAGCACCTTATGTATTCAAGAAATGGTAAAACCAATGGTGGCTAAAACAATGAACAGGAGACAGTGGAAAGACTACATCAGAAAGAATGAAAGGGAAGATATTGTACGGTTTTATAGGCCATGGTAAGAGTTTTAGATCTTGTTCTTAATCAGATAAGAAACTACTGAGCATAGGAGTAATATATTCTAACTTATTTTTATATTTATATTTTTTAAGTAGGCTCGACACCCAGATGGAGCCCAACACAGGGCTTGAACTCATGACCCTGAGATCAAGACCTGAGCTGAGATCAAAAGTTGGACACTTAACCTACTGCGCCACCCAGGCACCCCTCTAACTTATTTTTAAATAATCACTTTGTCAATGCAAGAAAGAGTGGTGGTTAGTATACAGGAGCAGAAGTGGAAGTGACAGTAAGTGTCAGACTCTGGATATCCTACTTTTTATATAGTTTCAGCATTATAAATTTATTTATAATATATAATTATAAAATTATAATAAATTATAATTATAATGATTATAATAAATGCTAAGCTAATATCTTTTTAAAATATTGTTAGAGAAATGAAAGTCCTTAAGAAAGCCTTTTAAAGGCTTGAGTAAGCCTTTTAAAACACAGCATTATACCCTCTGGGTCCATCCATGTTGTTGTAAATGGCAAGACCTCATTCTTTTTTATGGCTGAATAATATTCCACCATATATATATGTGTATATATATGTGTGTGTATATATATACACACACCCCGTATTTTTTTATACACTCATCTATGGATGGACACTTGGGTTGCTTCCATATCTTGACTATTGTAAATGATGCTGCAGCAAACACAGAGGTGCATGTATATTTTCAAATTAGGATTTTCATTTTAATTTTACCCAGTAGTGGAATTTCTAGATCATATAGTAATTCTATTTTTAATTTTTTAAGGGGCCCTCATTCTGTTTGCCACAATGGCTGCACCAACTTGCATTCCTACCAACAGTGCACAAGGGTTCCTTTTTCTCCACATCCAGGCCAACACTTGTTTCTTGTGTTTTTCATTTTAGACATTCTGACAGGTGTGAGGTGATATCTCATTGTACTTTTGATTTGCATTTTCCTGATAATTAGTGATGTTAAACATGGACCTAGATGGTGGTATAATGCTATATAAAATAAGTCAGTCAGAGAAAGACAAATACATTATGATTTCACTTACATGTGGAGTTTAAGAAACAAATGAACAAAGAAAAAAAGAGATCAAAACACTCTTAAATACAGAGAACAAACTGCTGGTTGCCAGAGGGCAGCTGGGTAGGGAGATGGCTGAAATAGATAAAGGGGTTTAAGAGTACACTTATCATTATGAGCACTGAGTAATGAATGTACAGAATTCTTGAAACATTATACTGTACACCAAAACTAATAAAACACTATATGTTAATTGTACTTGAAAGAAAGAAATGAAAGGAAGAAAAAGAAAGAAAGAAAGAAAGAAAGAAAGAAAGAAAGAAAGAAAGAAAGAAAGAAAGAAAAAAACACATAGCAAGTGAAAGACTATACTTTAAGAGATGGTTAAACAAGTCTATGAGAGATAGGGGCACCTGGCTGGCTCAGTTGGTAAAGCACGCACTCTTGATGTCAGGGTCATGAGTTTGAATCCCACACTGGGGGTAGAGTTTACTTAAAAAAAAAAAAAAAAAAAACAGGGGTGCCTGGGTGGCTCAGTCGTTAAGCGTCTGCCTTCAGCTCGAATCATGATCCCAGGGTCCTGGGATCAAGCCCCACATCGGGCTCCCTGCTCCACGGGAAGCCTGCTTCTCCCTCTCCCACTCCCCCTGCTTGTGTTCCCTCTCTCGCTGTGTCTCTCTCTGTCAAATAAATAAAATCTTTAAAAAAAAAAAAAAAAAACCTAATTTATGAGAGATAGTGGCTGTTAAATGTCAAGGCTCTAAAGTCAAATTTCCTGGTTTTGATCCTAGTTCAATCACTTACTAAACATGTAAATTTTAGCAAAGTTTCTCAATACCTCAGTTTTTTCATTTGTCAAATGCAAAAAATGGTTACCTTATATGACTCTTATGATTAAATATGAATATAAACAATTTAGCTGATACGCAGTTAACAACTCAGTAAATATTAGCTATCAAATTTATTATTCTACTTCCATTTGTTTCCACTGCCACAGGTTTCCACTATTACTTTTTCCCATTGTCACTACTATTTATAATATTCCCTTTTAAGACTGGTTACATATTCATTTAAAAAATTACCACAATAAAAATGAAATTTAAGTGTTCCTAACATTATATATTTGATATTTTTTAAAAGATTTTATTTATTTATTTGACAGAGAGAGAGGGAACACAAGCAGGGGGAGAGGGAGAAGCAGGGCTCCTGCTGAGCAGGGAGCCCCTTGTGGGGCTTGATCCCAGGACCCTGGGATCATGACCTGAGCCGAAGGCAGATGCTTAATGACTGAGCCACCCAGGCTGTTTTTAATCAAAAGTATAGTTTCTGCTTCAGAGGTAGCAAAGCACTCTAATTGTATTATAGTTTTTTTTTTCAGCTTGATGGATCAACCTTAAGGGTAACTAAATATTTAATTTGTAAGAATCCAAAGCAATTCCTGCTAACATTTTTTCTTCACTTCAAAACCAAATTAAAAACAAAATTAATGTTAAATCCCGTAAGGCTCTGAAAAATCCAACGCGGAATATGACAAGAACGATTATTACATATGAATCATAATCACTTGGATTTTTGTGTAGTTGGTCACATTCTTGATTTTATCCTGCTGTATATCTGTGTGTATGAGTTAGATAAACTGTTTGGGGCCAAATATTGGGTGCCCTGTATCACATTTGACAAGCTTCCAACTAAAGATACATAAGACGATGGTAACAATACTTGCCTCTGGGACAGGATAAAAGCCAAGGGTGAGAAAGAGACAAACTTTGCACTTAAAAACATTGGCTTTATCTAGGTTCCTTCCTTTGCACATGCACTCACTTTTCAAGAACATAAAATAGGTTTTAAAGAAAAAAAATTCATTTATGAATAATTTACAAAACAATTTTTAAAATGTCTCACAGTTCATCATAATGGCAGCTTACCAGATTGAAGATGCCAGTAATATATTAGTGTTGTTTGCAAGAAACCTCAACGGAGGCTCTGCAAGCAATACACAGGATAAAATTCCTCCACCAAAGCAATGGAGCATAGCAGTAAACCAGCTTGAAAGAGGATTCTTCCATGCCACTGCCGCAGCTCCTGAAATGGTAAAGTAAAAATGTGGTCTGAGATAATTGTATACTAAACAAATCCTAAAGTCCCAGTGGCACTAAAGAAATAAACTTAATTTCTTAACTTTCAAAAGCTTACTATTACTCATAGGTGTGACAATCACAATCATCATAAACTCTATCTTTTATTCTTTAAAGCAAGACTGGAAACATTTTAAGACATACATGATTTGGGGCACCTTTAAAATACTCTGTTCAGGCTCTTACTGCCAGTTTCCGAGTAGCACATTATTATAAACAATCTCCCTACTTACTCTCTCCTTTTATTCCCAGCCCTATTTAAGTACTTCCAGTTGATATGTCACAGCAAATTTTAAGAAAAATTTATTATCTTAAGTACTTTAGAAAATAAAAGCTGAAATAAACAAACTAAGCTTTTAACATGACAGGCTAGAAACAGAGTAACAAAATAAACCCAGAGGTGAAAGGTTGATGAGGAACAGATATATACATAATCTTAAAATGCCTTCTAACAACTTATTAATTACAGAGGGAAATAATAATTTTAGAGTGAAGAAACCTTGCAGACATCACTGTAAACAAACATCAGATGACTCTGTTATGATTCACTAAGAACACATCTTTATTTCTATAGTATTGCTACCAAAAACATACAACCTGAACTAATCTAATCAGATACACCCAAACTGAGGGCACTTCTGGAAAAAAAAAACATGGCCTAAACTTTAGCAATGTCAAAGTCAAGAAATTAAAAAAAAAAAAAAATGCTCCAGATTAAATAACATTAAAGAGACAACTACATGCAACATATATTCTAGATCATATCCTGGAGTGGGAAAGAATATTTATAAATGACCTTTTTGGATGACTGATGAAATCTAAATACGGACCCTGGCTTAATAATGGTGTTGTATCTGGGCGCCTGGGTGGCTCAGTTGGTTAAGCGACTGCCTTCGGCTCAGGTCATGATCCTGGAGTCCCAGGATTGAGTCCCGCATTGGGCTCCCTGCTCAGCAGGGAGTCTGCTTCTCCCTCTGACCTTCCTCTCTCTCATGCTCTCTACCATTCTCTCTCTCTCTCAATAAATAAATAAAAAAAACTTTAAAAAAAAAATAATAATGGTGTTGTATCGGGGCGCCTGGGTGGCTTGAATGGTTATGCGTCTGCCTTCGGCTCAGGTCATGATCCCAGGGTCCTGGAATCGAGCCCCACATCAGGCTCCTGGCTCAGCGAGGAGCCTGCTTCTCCCTCTCCCTCTGCCTCTCTCCCTGCTCATGCTCTCTCTCTCTCTATCTCTGTGTCTCAAATGAATAAATAAAATCTTAAAAAAATAATAATAATGGTGTTGTATGACTGTTAAACTTTCTGATTTTAGTAAAAGTTACTAAAAATCTTTAGTAAAAAGATTTTAGTAAAAGAACTTTTACTAAATATTAACACACTTAAGTAATTTGAAGTAACTGGGCAAATGCTTCCAATTTACATTCAAGCAGTTCTGAAAAAATAATATGCATAAATAAAAACATTCAGAGATGTTAAAACTTCTAGTTATAAAATGAGTAAGTTCTGGAGATCTAATGTACAGCATAGTGAGTACAGTTATTAATACTGTATTGTACACTTGAAATTTGCTAAGACAGTCAATCATAAGTCACCAATTAAAAAGAAGGTAACTATGTGAGATGATGGATGTGCTAATTAACTTGATTGTTATAATCATTTAACAATTCATATGCATATCAAACCATCAAATTGTACACTTTAAATTATATATATTTAATATATATAATTTAATATATATATAATATATATAACACCTCAATAAAGCTGGAAAAAAAAATAGGGCAAAATGAAAATGGTTGGTGAATCTAAGTATACAAGAATTCCTTGACCTATTCTGGTAACTTTTCTATAAGTATGAAATATCAAAGGGAAAGTACAAAAAATAAACTCAGCCAGAGAAATAGAAACAATTTATAAAAATAAAAGTAGAAACCCACTAAAGAGAAGCTAGAATAGGGAGATGGAGATGGGCAATCAATAAAGCCAACCCAAAGCTGTTCTTGAAAAGACCAGTAAAACCAACCATTGTTCAACAAGTCTGAGAAAGGGTAGGAAAAAAAATAATGCAAAACATTAGAGGAAAAATAAGGAAATAGTTTTATAGAGTTTTTTTAATTATAGGAAAACAACATGGATTTAATCTAATAAATGTGAAGATGTAGTTGAAATGGACAATTAGCAAAATTCCCTTAGAATAGATAGAAACTTGTACATATAACTATGGAAAAAAAACTACAGGGCAAAGATCTATCTTAAGAAAGGTGTTAACCCCAACAAATTAATGGAAAATATTTACCAAATATTTTTGGATTACTCATTTTTATGCTATATAACCATTATGGAATATAGCAAAGGAGAAAAACTTACATCATTCTATGAAACAACATAATCCTAACATCAAAAATTATAAATAAAAAAAAGAGTGAGAGAGGAAGGAGGAAAGGGAAGAGATAGGAAGGGAGGGAGGAAGGAAAGGAAGAAGACACACTATAATTCTAACTTATGAGTATAATGCACAAATATATTAATAACAAATTGAAATCAGTAGTTTTTTGAAAAGATAATAAATCATGACCAAGTAGATTTTATCCAAAGAATTCAAAAAGGATTCAATATTTAAAAATTCATTTAAATCATTCACTATGCTAACAAATTATCATCTCCCCTTAGACAGTTAAAGACTTAAAAATTCAATATTCCTGATTTTTAAAAAAATCTAGCAATCTAAGAACAGAAAGAAAAGTACTTAACCTGAATAAAGCTATAAAGGAAAAGACTTTTTTGACCTCACCAAAATTTTTAATTTTATTATGTTATGTTAATCACCATACATTACATCATTAGTTTTTGATGTAGTGTTCCCTGATTCGTTGTTTGCATATAACACCCAGTGCTCCATTCAACACGTGCCCTCTTTAATACCCATCACCAGGCTAACACATCCCCCCACCCCCCCTCCCCTCTAGAACCCTCAGTTTGTTTCTCAGAGTCCATAGTCTCTCATGGTTCAACTCCCCTCACTAAAATTTAAAATTTCTATATGACAAAAGTCTGGCATAGTGTTTTTCAACTTACATAAGGCAAATTCCAATAAATCAACAGAAAAAGACAACAAACACAAGAGAAAAATGACTAAGTCACAAAGTGGGAAATACAAATGACTAATAAACATACCAAAAAAAGAAAGTCCTCCCTCAAGTCATCAGTAATCAAGGAAAAACAAAATTTAAAAAGATGTTATATTTCTCACACATCCAATTGGCAAAAAAAATTTACAGCTTAATATTTATTAATATTAACTTATTAGCTGGAAAAGCTGTGAAGAAATTCATATACTCCTCTAACAGTATTAAAAAGTCATTTTGAGGAATAATTTGGGAGTATAAATTAAAATTTTTAATTTAAAACGGACTCAAGTGCCCAAGAAATAGCATACAAGAATATTAAAGCAGCGTTGTTTATAATGCTGTGAAAAAAATGAAAAAAATCTAAACCACCATCATCAGAGAACAGTTAAACCATAATCATTTGTTCTATGGAATACTATACAGGAGCAATCAAGAGTGTGACAAAGCAGTATCAACATGAGAAGATCCCTAAGACATCCTATTGAGTAAAAACAAAGAACCAAATACAATCATGTTGAACACTAATATTACAGCATGGAATTTTTTTTTTTTTATTTTTTAGAATCATTTATGAGGAAAAATGCAAACACTATACATTTCTATAGGTACATACATATACATGAAATGCACAGAAAAGGGTCTGCAATACACCAAAATGTTAACTGTTATTATCTCTTGAGAAAGCCTAGGATTTGGGAGGATGGTCAAAAGGGATTTAAATTTATTCAATTATACTGATTATATTATTTAATCATATTTGAATTCTTTTAAATAAAATGTTCATTTACTAATTGTATAATTAAGCAAAATTTTAACAAATTATGTCACTCCCAATCTGTGGAATACAATGCAGCTTTACATGCACTAATATGACAAAAAAATTCATATGTATATAAATAATATGTACAGTAAGAAATCATTTACAGGGGGAAAACAGAAAACCATGTATTTCTATCAGTACATATACAAGTAATACATAAAATAAGGTCTGCAAGAATATATAACCAAACTATTAACTGTTGTTATCTCTTAGGAAAAGGCATATTTATGCAAAAACAAAACAAACTACATAAATGTATGTGTGAGTTCAGTAGAGTAACATCATCATACTCGGGAATTCATCTGTAGGTGCTCAGGAAAAAAAAAGGAGATAAAAGTCAAATAGTACAACCCACCATTCCACACAACAAAATGTACCCAGGAGTGAACATGAGTTGGCAGATGTGCATTTCCTGTGGTGTACACATCCTGTCAAGTGAAGTGATGCCAAGGTTTAATGATATGCATCTGGTGATAACTCAAGAAATGGTGACCTGGTCCAATCTGGAAGAAAAATCAGTTATGAGAAATGTACTAAAAGGCAGGACATCAATCTTCAGTGTAGCAATTTCCCCTAAACCTAAGAATTTTCAAGAATTATTTTGATAATACATGATCATGCTCTCTTTAAAGCAAAACCCCCACATAAAATGTGATACCACTATGTCTCTACCCAAATATTATGACCTACCTAAATATGTGTATGGGCAATAGAGCACCACACAGTGGTGACTAATTATAACATTGGTCAGTCAGTCTAATAAATGAGTATAATCTTTTCTTTAGGTAATGGTCACTAGCTCCCATACTGCACCATATTCATGTTGAAAAGCAATACAGAGGGGCACCTGGGTGGCTCAGTCAGTTAAGCATCTGTCAGCCTTCAGCTCAGGTCATGATCCCAGAGTCCTGGGATAGAGCCCCAGGCCTGGCTCCCTGCTCAGTGGGGAGTCCGCTTCTCTCTCTCCCTCTGCCCCTCCCCCCATTTGCCTGCACC